TTTGGGCTTCCTGCTCTGCAAGGAGTCTGTTTCTCCCTCTCCCTCTACCCCTCTCCCCACTCAAGCTCACTCTCTCTCTCAAATAAAATCTTTAAAAAAAGCGAGAGGGACTTGGTTGAAGAGAAAAATACAATGAAGAGAAAATACAATGAATACTGCAAATAAGTTGTTTTTATTCAGATAAATAAAAAATATTTTTACCTTTGCTGTTCTGTTGTCAATAATTCTTTCAAGTTGCAGATAGAAGTTTTAAGTTCAGTAACCACAAAAGAATGAGCAGTTTTAGCTTTATTAAATTCTTCCATTTGAGCTTCTTTTTCTGCAGTGAGCTCATAGATTTTTTTTGTTGCTACCTGTAAATCTTCCTCTAAAGCCTTCCGAGTACTCTAAATGAAATAAAGTACAAAACAAATGCTATAATCCAAGGGTCTTAAGAAAAAAAAAAAAAAAAACACAACTTATCTGCTTCTGTAATTTGCTGTCTCTCTGTCCCTCCTTATTCTATCACCCGACCTCCCCAACCCCACCCCCTAGCCAATCCAGAATGCCCATTCAATACTCCTATCTCAATTCACCATTCTCCCAAAGCCAATCTATAGTCCCAACCTCCCAATGGAGTCTTCCTTGCCCAACGTGTTCTTTCAATTTTTAGAACTACTGTAGCAATTTTTGCCTGAATCTCTGTTAGTACCTAGCATGATCTTGTATTTTAATTATACTTTTGACATGTTTTTATCCAATGTTTTTAATTAAACTATAAGCATTTTGTAGACTGGGATTTTATCTTCTCTATTTGAAGTTCTGGGTCCTTGTACATAGCATTAGCATTCAGTAAATATCTCTTGATTCATAATGTAAGGCTTATCACACACTAATCTGTTTTTATATCATACCACACTTCTTTGCAAAGACATTTTAATATCTTCTAGTTCTGATGTCAAATGATCCTGCTTCTCATTTGATTCTTTTAAGTTTTCATTCTGTAATTCTAAAAAGGAGAGTTGTAGATTGGTAGTACTTAATAAAAAATACATACCAAGAAAGCAAATTATTTGTTACAATTACTTTTTTTCCTCCATGAGATACTCTAAAATGAAGTATAATTATGCAAATATAGATGCACTGATATTGGTTATCATCTACTTTTATTGACTTTTCAAGATTATTATCTCCCCAGCACTCAACAGTGAATATATGAGGATTTTTGGTACATTTTTAATAATAGCTAAACATTGGAAACAATCGAAATATTCAACAGGAGATAAATTAAATTACAATGGTACATACACACAATGGCATACCATGTAGCCACTATAAATGATGATAGACTTTATTATTCACTAATTTGGATATTTATTCACAAAACATCACATAATAAAAAGGGCAAGTTTAAATGATATTTATATAAATAGTGCATGTGAAAGGAAACAATACACACAAAAAAATATTACAAGTAATTTATCTCCTAATGGTGAAATTATTCCAGATTTTATTTTCATCATTGCCCATCTTGAGTTTCAGATTTTTCTAAATCATGATCTCAGACTTGTGAGATCAAGCCTAGCATTGGGCTCCACACCCAGCGCAGAGTCTGCTTGAGATTCTCTCTCCCTCTCCCTTTGCCCCTCCTGCTCATTTTCTCTCTCCCTCTCTCTTTCTCAAATAAGTCTTTAAATAATTAAAATATTATATTCATATGCTGAAATATTATGAAAAAAAGCTTTTGACTCTATAGCTAATTTATTAAATACTAAGTGTTAGGTACTAGTCTATGTGCTTTATGTGTATATGTGCATTCACTTTTAAACATCATAAAAACAGTAGGACAAAAAAAGAAGTTCATGCTCTCTTTCCTGGGTTAAAATTATTCTATGTCCTCTTACTAGCTACCTAACCTTGGGCATGATACTTAACCAGTCTTCACTTTTCTCAACTGGAAAAAGAGAATAATGATAGCTATTCATATCTTGAAGGATTGCTGTTAGGATCAAACAAGATAATGCAACTTAAAATGTTTAATGACAGTGTCTAGCATATAGTCAATAAATGTTAAAGATTATTATGACAATGATAATGATGGTGTATACTAGAAATTGGTTCTTAAAATTCATGGTATTTACAATGTAATTGGGCTAACAGACAAATAATCAATGATAAGTGATGATGGGCACTTACTCAGAAATTCTGGAAATATAGAGAGGGGCACCCAAACCAAAAAGGGTCAATAGAAGTCAGAGGTAAGGAGAGACAGACATAGAGAGGGAGAGTTCAAGGAAGCCTTCCAGAAAGTGTCAGCTCAGTTCAAACATTTGAAAGCCAGTAAGAATTAACAAGAGTAAGTGGGAGTTGGGAGAGAAAAAGAATATCACAGGTGAAAGAGCATGTACAAAGACAAAAATGGAGGAGACAAGATGACATTCTGGGGTCTAAAAGAAATATATTTCAATAGCATGAAACTTAAAGTATGAGGGAGGAATCAAAGCAGATATGACTGGAAAGATAATAAGGACAAGATCATAACAGGATTTCTATGACTTGCTAAAAGTATATGGTTCATAAGTCATAAAGACCATGAAAAATGATGAAGATGTTAAGCAACAAAATGATGTTTCAGGTTTATATTTTTAAAAATTCCATTCTGAAAATCTGTGTAGAAATGAAAGGGTAAGTAGTCCACTTCTACTGTCAAATGCTCTACCACTGAGCTCCAGACTCTCAGCCAGGAGTCTGCTTGAGATCCCCCCTTCCTCCCCCACCCTGCTCCTCCCCCTGCTCGTGCTCTCTCTCACTAAAATAAATAAAATTTTTTTAAAAAATTAAAAAATAAAAAAACAAGATTCATCTATATGCTCCCTATAAGAGACTAACTTCAGACCTAAAGACACATACAGACTAAAAGTAAAGGGATGGAAGAATGTATCATGCAAATGGAAGTGAAAAAATAAAAATAAAAATAAAGCCTGGGTAGCAATACATACATCAGACAAAAGAGATTTCAAAACAAAGACTATTGCAAAAAAACAAAGAAGGACACTTGTGATGAGCACTGGGTGTTATATGTGATGAAGCACTAAATTCTACACCTCAAACTAATATTACACTTCATCTTAACTTGAATTTAAATAAAAATTTGGAGAATTCAAAAGAAAAAAAGGACAATAAATAATAAAGGGATCAATTTAACATGACGATATAATAATTGAAAATTTCTGCACACCCAACATAAGAGAACCTAAATACAAAAAGCAAAGATTAACAGACATAAAGGTAGAAACTGACAGTAATATAACATTAGGGGCCTTAACACCTCACTTACATCAGTGGAGAGATCATCCAGACAGAAAATCAATGAGGAAACAGTGGCTTTGAATGAATATTAGATCAGTGTACCTAACAGGCATACACAGAACATTCCATCCAAAAACAGCAGAGTTCACATTCTTTTCAAGTGCACATGGAACATTCTCCAGGACAGATCACATGGTAGGCCACAAAATAATTTTCAATAAATTTAAGAAGATTGAAATCATATCAATCATCTTTTCTGAATACAATGATATGAAACTAGCAATTACAAGGAAAAACATCTGGAAAGAACACAAAAACAGTGAAACTAATAAACTACATGCTACCAAAAAACAAATTGATTAATAAAGAAATCAAAGGGAAAAAAAACAAAGAAATCAAAGAGTAAATCAAAAAATACATAATGAAAATGAAAACACAACAGTCCAGGAAGTTGAGGGAAGATGGCAGAAGAGTAGGGAACCTTTGTTTCATCTGGTCCCTTGACTTCAGCGAAATATCTATCAAATCATTCTGAACACCCGTGAATTCAACCTGAGATCTAAGAAAAGAATCACTGTAATTCTACAAATAAAAAAGCAACTTTTTGAAAGGTAGGAGGTACAGAGAAGTCAATCTGTAGGGCTATATCGGAAGATAAACTGTGGGGGTTGGGAGTCTCCGTAATCTGATTACCAGAAAGTGATATAACAGCAGGGCACAAAATCGGAACTCTTAGAAGTCTGCTATGGTGAGGGACAACCCTGCCTGAAAGGTGCTCAGGTGGTGAAGCAGGGCAGAATTCTAGGTGGGACAGTGTAGTCTCAGAATCCCCAGGGTCACAAAAAGAGCAGGGGTGCCTGAGTGCAGCAGAGTTCCCAAGCATTGGAGCAGGAAGCTGGCTACAATCAGTGAGCCCAGGAGTGGGCTCTCAGCTCAGTGCTGCCATAAACCACAAACCCCAGCACAAGTGGGTGACCACTCTCCAAGCAGGGAGACCCAGCAAGCAGCAGAACCACAGGGAGACCCTCCTCCTTCCCCCCAGGGAGGAGCGACTGGGGTGCACGCTGCAGGAGTCTGCAGAGTTTGGCCCCACACAAAAGTGATTGCTTTTCCCTGAGGGTGCAGAGTGAGGGTCGGGGGTCAGGATCTTTCAGCTCCAGGGCTGGAGATCAGGATGCTGCCATTTTTACTTTCATCCTCTAAAGTGGCACAGGAAGCCTTCAGGGAACAAAAGCCACATAGAGCAACATGAAGCAGCAGCTTACCCTGAGCCCCACCTCCTGGCAAGGACAGTGCAACTCTGCCCAGGCACAGACACCTGAGAATCAGTGCAACAGGCCCTTCCCCCAGAAGGCCAGCAGGAACATCAGGCTAATACCAAGTTTACAGATCACACAAAACTGAAAAACTCCAGCACAAGGGGAAAATAGTATATAGAATCTGAGGTTTTTTTCTCATGATTCCTTAGTCTTTCAGTTTAAATTTTTTTTTTCTGTTTTTCCTTTTCAACTAGTTTATTTTATCAACTCTTTTTAAGTATTTTTTTAATTTTCATTTTTACATTTATATTTTATAAATATATTCATTTTTGGCTTCTTTCACCGTATCCAATTTTATTTTTGTATATATATATACACACACAAGTTTTTCTTTCTTTACAATTTTGGGATCTAGTGTCTTCTAACAGACCAAAATGCGCCCAGGACCAAGTGTATCATCCTGTTCTGTCCACCTGTTAGATTATATTCTTTTTTCCTTTTTCTTTTTTGGTTTCTGATCTCTTCTGATTTGTCTACTGTATATTTCTCTGGGGTTGTGGTGATATTTTTTATTTTGTTCTCTCATTCCTCTATTCTTTTTTGGACAAAATGACTAGAAAGAGAAATTCATAACAAAAGAAAGAACCAGAGATAATACCCTCTCCCATAGGTTTAATCAACATGGATATAAGATACTGTACCTAGAATTCAGAATAACGATTATGAAGATACTAGCCAGGGTTGAAAAAAGCATAAAAGACACTAGAGAATCCCTCAGTGCAGAAATAAAAATCTAATCAGGCCAAAATTAAAAATGCTTTAACTGAGATGCAGTCTAAAATGGATGCTCTAACAGCTACGCAGAAGAGTCAGTGACATAGAAAACAAAATAATGGAAAGTAAGGAAGCTGAGGAAAAGAAAGAAAAACAACGACTGGATAATGAGGGGAGGCTTCTAGAAATCAGTGATACCATAAAGTAAAACAATATCAGACTAATTGGAGTCCCAGTGGAAGAGGAAAAAGAAAGTGACAGAAAATATATGTGAGCAAATCATAGCTAAGAACTTCCCTAATTCAGGGAAGGAAACAGGCATTCAAGTCCAGGAGGCACAGAGAACCCCCATCAAAATCAATAAAAATAGATCAACACCCCGACATATAACAGTGAAGCTTGCAAATTTCAGAGTTTAAGAGAAAATCCTGAAACCAGTTAGAGACAAGAGGTAGTTACCCTACAAGGGTAGAAATATTAGACTGGCAGCAGACCTATTCACAGAGAACTGGAAGGCCAGAAAGGACTGGCATGATATATTCAGGGTATTAAATGAGAAAAACATGCAGCCAAGGCTGTCATTCAGAATGGAAGGAGAGATAAAAGAGCTTCTAGGACAAACAGAAACTAAAAAAAATTTGTGATCACTAAACCAGCCCTATGAGAA